GTCGGGTCAAAGCTGTTGCCGACACGCAGAGACTTCACCTTTGCAACGAGCCGCGTCACAAACTCATCGTACACCGCCTCATGGACAAAGATACGGTTGCAGCTGATGCAGGCCTGCCCAGCGCCACGGAACTTCGCCTCGACGAGGCCAACCACCGCACGGTCGAGGTCAGCGTCATCGAACACCACAAACGGCGCGTTGCCGCCCAACTCCAGACCCAGTCGCTTCATCGTGGCGGCCGAACGCTGGTACAAGTGCTTACCCACCCGCGTTGACCCCGTGAAGGCGATCTTTCGCACGTCGAAACTGCCAAGGAGAGCATCCCCAATAGGGCCGGCGTCCCCTGTTACGACGTTCAGCACGCCAGGCGGCACACCCGCCTCGGTGGCCAACTGTGCCAGTGAGAGTGCGCTGAACGGCGTCAGCTCCGAAGGCTTCAGCACAACGGTGCAGCCAGCAGCAAGAGCGCCGCCCAGCGAACGCGTCACCATCGCGGAGGGGAAGTTCCATGGCGTAATGACGCCCACAACACCAACGGGGCGCCGTACCACCGACGTGACGACACTCTCGCGGGGTCCGCTGATGATGTCGCCGTAGACCCGCTCCGCCTCCCCTGCATACCACTCAAGGTATCGCTCCGCGTAGAGACACTCACCAACACCCTCCGCCAGGACTTTGCCAGATTCGCGTGACAAGATGCTGCCAAGGCTCTGGCTGTGCCGCAGGACCAACTGTGCCCAACGATGAAGGATCACGGCGCGCTCGCGAGGCATCAAACTCCTCCATGGCTCGAAAGCCGCCTGTGCCGCGGCAACCGCCCGTAGCGTGTCTTCCTTCCCGAGATTGGGGATCTCGCCAATGATGGCGTTCGTACAGGGATCCTCCACGGCGATGGTGGCGCCAGCAGCAGGTGTACAAAAAACACCGTTGATGAATGCGGTGGGTCGCTCCAGCAGGCGTCCCGTGGCGAACTTCGACGCATTGCTCAGGTCGAAAACCGCCTTGCAAAGCAAGGGCTTCGTTCTTTGCATTTTCTCTTGCCTCACCCCTCTTTCGCACCCTGACGCCGGTGTGGTTTACAAGCGACACGGATGAACTGGGTGAGAATCAATAGAAACAACAACAATGAAAAAGACAAGAAATATGGGGGAGAGAGAAAGAGAGAGAAAAAAAAAAGAGAAGGCATAATGTGTATTCATTCATTCAATCATCGGTCGGAATCACAAGCGTTGAGTCAAGACCCATTTGCCCACCCCCTCATGTCTTCCTATCATTCTGTTGCACTACGTTGAAAGGAAAACCAAATGATCGCGGCCCATCCCCTACTGCGTGGTGCCCAACCTTTATTCACTGCCCCACCCCAGCGAAGGTAAAAGTGACTTGCTCATCTCAGGCCAGGGAGGATATTAGAATAAATGAAGAAGCACACACACGTTTTCCCCTTCAATAATGCACCACATTTCCACTATATACTACACGACGGTTGTCGTCCCACTCCTTTCTTCCAAAGAATTTTTTTTTTAAAAAGGCGACACGCAGTGTAACACACCTCTTGCTAGCCGTCCCTACTACAAAAACAATGGCACACAACGCGCGCCACTTACTCCACCCTATCAGGGACATTGCGCCACATCGTATCCATCTGCGGGCCCCACGCATCGGCCCATTGGTAGCCAGTGCCGAGTTTGCGGTGCCACACGCTCAGGTAATCGTGCTTGTACGACGCGCGCATCGAGAAGAGGCTGCCCATCCGTGCAAAGATGACCCACATGACAAGGAAGTACCCAAGAACGCAGCACACCCCCTGGGTGTGGTAAGGGTACTTGATGTGGTCAAAGTTGGTGTAGCAGCGGGCGGTGCTTGACGTCTTCGCTAACGCACGCGACGCCTGTGGGCCAACAGCGCGGCGGAGCATGTTTTATCTTAAAGCTTCTTTGCTTTTCCCTAAATGCAGGTCCTACCTCTCAGAGATGGTGCTATTGCGCAAAAAAAAAAGCAAAAAGGCAGATGATAGTGCATTAAATGAATGACTAAACGAAGCAACTTTACAATAGTATTATTTCGGCACCATGGGAATGAAGGAGAGGAAAAGGTAAACTAAAGAGAACAGGCAATACTCCAAATCATGCAATCGACACCCACTGTACATGAATAATTCCGGGTCAAATAAACAAACAAAAAAAAACACACACAGTAGAGAATCATTGCATAGTACCTCGAAGCACCCGCAACCGTGGGGTGGCACCTCTCGTATCGTTTGTGAATTCCGAGGGTAGTGACAACTTCGCTCTCCTGCAGGTCAATTCCGCACCTGTAAGCATCGACGTCTCACCTGCGCCAAACACCGCCTGCCCCAGTACTTTACTATCACACTTCAGATGCATCTGCTGCTGGTTGTTTTGCAGCCTCTTCGCCGCCTTAGCTTGAGCTTTTCCATAGAGGGTCGCCGCATGACGAAGGACACGTGACGGTACTTCTGGCAGCTTCACATCAGCTGGTTGTTGCACCTCCGGTCTCTGTGTTATGTTGCAAAGATGTGATTTAACGAAGTCCTGGATTGTCGGATCCTGCGCATTTAGGCGTTGACACGACAGCACATCACGCAGGGCGTACCGTGGTTCATTAAGATCGAAACGGCAGCATGCCCTGTGGTAGTAAAAGAGCGGCTCTGTGTCACAAGTTGCAATGGCATTACTAAACTCCCGCTCCGCATCCGCCAGCTTTCCCTGCGTATGAAACTTAGAGCCCCAAATGTCGTGCAGGAAGGCGATGCGCCGCGTGGCTGCGGGGTGCCGCGGCGCAATGTTCTCCACCCGCATAAAGTCCTGCAGTGCGTGCTGATAGTCCCCAATTCGTCTGTAACAATCACCACGGGCGAGGAGGACTGGAATATTCTCTGCATGCCAGATAAGAGATGTTGTGTAGTATTCAATCGCATCTCTTATGCCATTCTCACCATCAAGACTCGCACCAACACGAAACAGAGTCTTCGTCATCAACTCAATTGCAGCCTTATGTTGCCCGTCAGACACTTTGATGCAACGAAAGAGATCAGGCACAGCCTTCTTATCCTTCTTGTTGTTGATATGGTGCTTGGCACGCTCAAACAGCAGCGCTGCATCCTCTGGAAACACCAGGAGACAACGTGTAAGCGCCTGCAAATCCGAATGTTCAATCGACCTCTGACGAAACACAGAGTAGGCAGAGTCAAAGATGTGCTGCGAGAGCAAAATCTGCGGATGCTGACGATCCGGCACCGGCACTTTTTCCAGCAGCGCCTTAGCGTGCTGAAAGGCTTGCCGGATGCAGTAAAGGTGCACCAGTAGCGAGCTGCTTTCAATCATAAAGTCTGGATTCTCCTTCAAGTGCTTCTCCAACTCCTTCTCCGCCTCGTCCTCGCGCTCAAGAGCCACAAGGTAAGCGCAGCGGTGCAGAACCACCTGTGGGTGCCGGCGCAACTCGAGGGAGTCATCGGCAAAGCGCAGGGCCTGTAAGTAATCCTTCGCGTTGAAGAGGGTAATGCTAAGCGCATCAAGGATACCCGCTAGGCGTGTCTGAACAGACTCGACAAGTGCACAATCATCCCCTGACGCAGCAGCGAGACGTGCACGGAAAGCACTCGGTGGCGGTGTGCCATGCGCCACAGAGGGTGGCCCGCTAACCTGCGGTGTTGCGTCATCCTCGCCCTTGTTGTCGTCGAGGCCTTTCGTGCTACAGCTGCCGGGGCGCCGCTCAAAGGAAGCAGGGGGCTGCACCAAGGCAGCAATGTCCAGCGGATCCTCACCGTCCTTCTCGTCTCGAGGGCGCAAGAGCCACAGCGAGCGACGGTACTGCTTTACTGCCCCTTGGAAGTCGCACAGCGAGACGTAGCACTCCGCAGCAGCAATGAGGGGCTGTGGTTTGCGTGGCATGAAGAAGGAGGCCTCGGCAAAAGCGTTGATGGCTTCCCTGAACCTAGCGTGCTGCATAAATATAAGCCCGTGCTGATACTTCAGCTCCCCCTTCGCGGGGGAGGAGGCAATACCCCTGCGTTGGTCCATGTAGCTGGCGTTCATAGATAGATAGATATATATATACACAGTGCGTTCTGTTCCTGTACCTACGTGTCGCGTACGCGCGTCACAGTATGTGAATAGATTGATCAATGGGCAGAACGACAGAGGAAATAAAAAGGAAAAGGGAGAGAGAGAGAGAGAGAAAGAGGAAAAAAAAATAATTCGGTACAAGCAACTTTGAAAAACAAAAGGAGCATGTGTTGCAGCTTGCATCATGCATCACATATTTCCATGTGTATGTGTGTATCGGTGCAGAAGGTCAAGCAATGAGACCCGCCATTTACTCGGTTATAAAGAGGGGTTTATGTACCTCGGCATACTCTTCACTGGCAATGGTATCCTTCTCGGTGTGTCCGTCATCGTCTGCGCGGCCATATTTGACCATGGAACTTCTACGGACGGGCAAGACCGTCCGCTTTCTTTTTAAGCCTCCGCTTGGTGCCTGCCACATTGTTTGTTGCCTTCTTCGAGGCGCTATTACCACCATTCTTCTTCTTCTTCGGTATGGCCTCGGACTGTGGCTTCTTCGCCGGCGGCGCCACTTCAACTGCCACTTTTGCCTTCACCACAGCCCCATCCTTTTTGCTCTTTTTGGTCTCAGGGTGTTTCTGCTGCTGGGGGCGGCTCCGTTCGCATTCTTCATGTTCATGCTTCACTCTGCGAGTGGGTGTCGTGATTCCGTTACTCGCCTTTGCAACTGCAGTTTCACGAGTGCGTTTCCGCGCAGAGCGCTTCACTGCCGCAGTGTCCTTTGCTTCCACCACCCCCGCTGCTGTTGCTGCCACTTCGGCAGCAGCTGTTGTATCGTCGGTGTGCTTCCGTGAAGTACGCAAGAGTCTAGGCTTGTAGACCGCACGCGTGTCAAGTTCGTAGCGATAGCAGCAAGCCTTATTGCCCTCAATCGGATCCCCGTAAGAAGTCTCCTTCGCGACGCCAGCGTCTGGGCATTCCAGTTTGGCGTGGAGAGGCCACTCCATCTTGTAGCGCCCAACACATCCTGCAATCGGAACCTTGGCAGTCACTGTGCGGGGAATCCGTACCGCCGCCTTCGTGCTATCCTTTCCGGCAAGGAGCTCATTCAGCGCACAGCATAGGGGATTCGACTCATGGCAAAGCAGAAGAGTTACGCCCTGGTCAGGCTCCAGCTGTACAATCTCCTGACACGCAGCCTGTAGCTGCTGACTGTTGATGAATGGCAGCCGAAGCACACCCTGGTAAGAAAAGTGAGCCTCACTAAAGTCTACGTCAATTCGGTCAGGATAAAAGATGCCAAGAACAGAAGTCGGGTCCTCCACCGCCTCGTGTAGTTCCTCTGGCAACGCGTGTACACTTAACCGCGGCAACACCGCAAGTAGCTGCACCACCGGATTCCGAGGTGCACCCATATGCATCTCCACATTCACAGGGTCATTGAATTGCGCCAGGTCCTGTAACAGAGGGGCATAGTGAAACGGGTAGAACCAGTCCCACGACGGGCACCCGATGGTGTAGTACCGCATAACCCACTGCGTCCCACGTAGGTACTCCGCACAACAGGCCTTAATGTTCGCCTCAAACTCCTCACGTTGTGCGGGATCCCATCCAAACTTCTTCTCGTAGTATATGTCACGGTGGCCTGCGTCAACGTAGGAAAACCCTAACGGCTGCTTATCTGCAACGAGTCGTGTACGCTCCTTTAGAATGGACAACATGAGCTTGTGCGCCGCATCACTTACTTCTTGTGCGTTACTACAGTTTGGTTCAACCGACGCGAGCAGCTCCTTCAACTCATTCTCATACCCCTTCACACGCTCCTCAACATTGGTTTTTGCTCTCTCCTTCGCCCGGAGCACACCACCATATTCCCGTTTGAGGGATCCCATATAGTCCTCGATGAAACTCTTCAGGAACTTTGACAAGGTAGGGTAGTTCACCTCGCCCTTATCAGTAATGTAGGAGTGCTTTGCGAAACTCCGCACATAATGATCCAGTAGCAGCTCAATGCCTTTTGTCTTAATCGAGATGAGCGGCACGTGCGGAAGGAAGTCATTTCCCACGAAAAAGCACAGAAAAACAAAATCGTCCAACACCCTTTCAAAATTCATTTTGCCGATGCTGCTGAAGTCCTCCTTCAGACGCTGACGGTACTTGCGGAGACTAAAGTAACAGAAGCGGTTGTGGTCGGGCTGAAATGTCTCTGTGAGCTGGTTGCGCAGTATCGTCAGGTGCTCCTCGTGCGTTGACAAACCCAGACAGATAAGATCGGCGTCCATGCCATGCACGACGTGGGACGTGCGTGGGTCGTAGCCAGGCTGGGCACGGAGCCCGCGTATGTATTGCATGATCTTGTGCTCGCCTTCCCCTGGTACGTGGGCATCAGAGAAGACGACGGTGATGTGCCGCCACGCCGGGTCCTCGTTGAGCTTCTTTACCACAAACCACTCAATGGCGAGCCCGACGCGCTCCATGAATGCCGTTGATGGTGTGATGACGTTGTGGTCCCACCGATCCCGTGTGTTCGGGCGGGGAAGGCCTTGCTGAATCACCGCTTCAGCACACTTCTCGGAGAGTGTGTCGCTTTCAACACGCTCCTCTGCAGCGCGGAAGCGGCGACTGCGCTGCTGATTCATCTTGCTTTGTGGTGCCACACCGTCGATGCAGAGCACAAGGCACTTGCGTGGGCGCACGATCTTGAAGAGGAGATCCATCTGCGCAAAGATGCGTTGCAACATCTCCTCCTCCGACTGTGGCTCCGGCAGGGGTGCGGTGTCGTGACAGCAGGGGTGAATCAGACCATTCATGTCAAGGTAAAGATTGTCGTACTGCCGTCTTGCACCGTTCTCGTCGGGTAGCGCCTGACCGTTCTGCGCGGCTTCAACAACGGACTCCGGAACATCCTCCACGCACTCACCGTACCAGCGCTTCAGCCACAGGTAGAAGCCAGCGATCCCCATTCCCGCACCCCCTTCCTTGCTAGATCTACAGTTCCCCCGTGAGTATATAAGCAGAATAGGCCACCACCCGCAGGCATGCAGGCACGCAACAAAATGAACAAAAAGAAAACAGAAAAAAGAAGCGTATGTCAACAATACCAATGCACGAGAAAAATGGAGAGAAATGGGCGCCAAAGCAATGACGCAGCCACTAACAGCAATATCCCTAGTCACATATACAGTGGATACAAGCACTTGAGCAACCGTCCAAATAAAATAAAAAAGATGTGAAGGAGGCCTCTCCCTCCCTGTAGCAACGACGATACAGCAATGGGTCACTTTCGCCTTTGGGGCCGCTTCATTTCTTGCATCTCACTCCCGTGACAAGTACACCCCAGTCCAACTTTATATTTGAGAGAGGGANTAGGGGGTAATCGCTCAATCCTGCCACGGGGGACGAGCCGCTACCACCGCTCTCAAAGGTGTTTGCCCTGGCGATGGCACTCGTTCAGTGATTTGTCGGTGCGCGGACGACCGCCACGACGTCCCCTGTCGCCCGCTCGCACCCCATTCCACGGCACTGTGGTCGCCACGACTGCGCCTACCCAGCACCGTTTCCGACAAATGCACAAGCTCCAGCCCTGTCTTTACAGGGTCCTTGATGTACGCCTTTACCTGCCGATGAATGCAGTCTTGCGCCCTAGAAATGATGAGAGCAGTGGCCTGCTCCTGCCCACGTAGGGCAGCGCTGTGTCTCTTCACTAGTGCGTCAAAGTCCTGTCGGCGTTCGGCCAGCAATTCCTCGCGGTTCATGGCAAGTCGTTGCTCTACCGCTCCCCGCTCCACCCTCAGCCGCTCCGCCACCGCCAGCAAACGCTCCTGTAGTTTCCTTTCCTGCTCCACCTCAAACTCATGCAGCTCCTCTGCCTCACGCTGAACGATCTTCTTCTGTACATGCTCAGCATCAGCGTACATCCTCTGCTGGACAAAGTTCTTTAACTCGTCACGAAGGTCCACCAGCGTCTTGGAAGGTCGCAGTCGCTTTTCCATGAGCCCCAGTCGAATGATATCCTCCTGCGATTGCATGTCCATCATGTGTTGACGGTTAAGTTGGTATAGCAGGTCATCCGCTTTCTCATCGTAGTCCTTCATTTTATCTTCCCACATTTCATGGAAGGTGAGGAGCTCCAGCTGTTGCTCCTCCATCATTTGCCTTTTCCATCCCACGTTGACCTTCCGAGCCTCAATTTCAATTTTCTTTGCGTAACGAAGATTAATCTCACGAATCCGGTCGACGCACCGCTGTGCCTTGCGGAAGTTGCCATGGCGCTCACATTCCTGACGCAGTACATCAAGCTGAATCAAGTGGTTTTTTATCTCCT